AAAATCAGAGAGAAGTTTATATTAATAAAAAGAGGTTGGAGATAAACAAAAGCAAACCAAATTATTCAAGGGTTTCCTCGTTTTTCTTCACTGGTAAAAAGTGATCCAGCCACTTGAAAAAAATTAATAGAAAGGAACTTGATTCATCTTTTTCTCACTGACTTTTGTGGCTTGAAGCCCTTTTTCATGTGCACTTGAAAACTGGAATGTGTCAAACTCTACTGGACTCCTTGCTCTCTTTTAACTATTTATTTTTGTCTTAAAATACTTTTTAAATTGAGATATAGTTGATTTACAATATTGTGTTAGTTGCCCTCTTTCGTTTTTGTTTTGTTTTGTTTTGTTTTGTTTTGTTTTTTGATGACCACCCACACCTCATTCCAACTTTCTATAAGAACATTTTCTAACATAATACTGTGCTGGAGAAAGTTACTTGTGTAGTTAAAAAAACCAAATCAAACAAACAAACAAAAAAAACAAGCCCTATCTCATAATCAAAAAGCTTCTGGAAATACTAAGTTAAACTAAAACAGTTTTTCCGCAGCTGGACTGCTCAGAGATTTTACATCTGAACCTACCATCTAAAACCGTGTCTGACAAAATTGATATTCGCTGAATAAATTAATGATGCATTTTGTAAAAACCCCTGTAGGGACATCCAATTTTTAACTTTTTGCTTTCTTTCTTGCTCATCGATATCATAGCTCTTTAATAACAGATGTTGAATTAAGTGAGCAACATCTAATGCATGTATTTACAAATTAACACATTTGAAAAGCAATGCTTTGAGTCATAAAGTTTCACAAATACTTTGAATAATAAGCGTTCCTATTTTTGCTATTAGTGTATCAGCAGTAGTAACAGTATTAATTGCAATGACTGTAATAATATTAAGTATTCACGAAATTCACTGTTACCAAGACTAATGTTCTAGAAGCACCATAGCTCATGTCAGTTTTGTAAGATCTAAGGAGGCAGACTTCCCTGTACCCATTCCACAGATACGGAATTGAGAACAGGACTGGAATTCTGGAACATTCTCCTTGAGAACTTCAAACACAAATCACACAAGGAAATATCTGCTGTTTGGTAGCATTTAAACATGGTTTAGTAAGAGTCAATATTAAAAAATGAAAGCTTTGCTGTAAAAATTAGGTAAATCATTTTATTTTTCCAAAAGAGAATAATAAACATATGGAAAACATTATGAGCAAAGGCACATTAGCTAACCGTCTGTTAAGTTTAAGAGAAAAAAAAAGGCACATGGTATTTCTTTAGGGAAAAGCTAAATATTGCCTATTCTGCTCTGTCTCTTTGCTACCAATTAATGCAGGGCTGTTATTTGCAGTATTGGCTCTCATTTGTTTCAACTCTGTTTTTCACCAAGTTATGAAGACTCGGAGTGGAGAAAAACAGAGACCGTGCAATTGTTTGGTCTTAAGTAGATTAAACAATTTGTTCACCGGTGGGTCCCTGGGAATACGCAGGAGGGTGAGACTCAATTTTTAAATCAAAAATTAAGACGAGTCTATTGGCCGTGTATGTTTCCTCCATCACTGAAATGCTATATGTTGCGTCACCTAATTTTCTTGCTCTTTTGGGTTGGCGTGGTTATAAATATTCCACACTCCAATCTGTAGGCTCAGAGTTGTTTCTCTATATTAAGCAATATCTGATAATTATGAATCCTTGACTTCCATACAACCACGTGCAGTCCCATAAGTCATCTGTTTAAGTAATAAAAAAAAATCCAACAGAACCCAAGAAAGATCCCTCTGTTAGACGATTAGCGTGCGCTTTCCAGACTGAGTGGGGATGTTCCATTTATAACTCTCATTTGTTTCCTAGCATCGTGGCCAAGTTTCCACTTACTACATGTCCCCTCGCCTTAATATTAACTTCCAGTTGGGAGTGCAGTCAACTGTTTCTCAACCCCTAAATGAGAGCAAATGATATCCACCCCACATCCACCACCAATTTTACTAGAAGCCACTTCAAAGATTTCATTTGAAAGAATGAAGTCTGTTCACTGCTTCCCAAAGCCAAGGTGAGCCCTGCTCGTAATGAACTGGGACTTTCTGCGATTTCCCTTCATTTGCAACACCGGCAGTTTTTCCCAGGATAATTTTCTTTCCTCCTCCGCTCAAGGTAAACCCGGGTATTCTGTGTTTGCTGCTGTCATGGGAGAGAGGGGACAGGAGATGCGGAAGGGGAGGGGGCGCTGGAGGACTCTGCCCCACTCGGGCTGCTTGCGACCAGCACGCGTGTGTTTGCAGGGACATCCCACTGTCTGTCCACGCATCTGCAGTCTGTCTGAGCAGAAAAGCTCCAGAACGTTTAAAGATTGTCTCAGCTCCACACAGTTTCCAAAGAGAGAGCAGCGTACATTCCTGTATTTCTCCCTGACAGTGTCACCGGCTTATCAAACTGGACGGAAGTGGCTGACACTGTTTGAACGCGGATGGCAGAAAAGACAAACCCCACAGCTCCAGCGTTTAGCTCCCTCCGTGGTCTCTGCTCTTTGACCATTTCCTCCATCGTGCCTTTAAACTGGCCTCTTGGACACCAGGTCATGGCGCTTCCGCTCCAAGCCGCTGGCACCCCCTTCTCCTCCTCCTGTTTGCACCGTGACTACAACCCCAGGTCCGGGCAGCGTGACAAGGCCACGCTGGGGGGACTACTGTTTCCCCAGGCTCTCCGCCGCACGCCCCTACCCTTCAGCACCCCCATACATATTTAGAGCTTGTGCACATAGTAAAGGAACAGAAGACACAGTGACAGGTGCTTGTGGACACACTTCCTGCGAACTCGTGCAGGGGCCGCCAGAGCAGTGTCCACCCTCCCTGACACACACAAGTATAGACACACACACGCACAGAGACATGCACATGTACACACACGTGCACACACATGTGCACGCACAGAGACATGCAGAGACCCACAGAGACATGCAGACACACAAACATATGCACACATATACACACAGACACACGCATACACACACAGACATACACAGACCCACAAACACATAGACACATGCACACATACACACATGCACACCAAACAGTTCAGCTTACATTGGAGATATGTTCCTTCAGAAAAGATTTATATCCTTCCCAACACCTGTAGGCGCCACTGACCCACAACCCTTTGAAAATATTTTGTCTGCTTGGGTCCTTCCCATTCTGCTGGCAGTGAGACTCTGAACCTGAAATCCATATAACCATCAGCCAAAATTGATGAAGTCTGAAGGGAGCTTTTCTCTTTCACCCACAGCCGAGGCCGTGAGGATGACCGCGCTGGCCGGCCGCTCCCTCAGTGAGGTGGCGTGTGTGCTGGTTCACCCTTCTGACTGAGGGTGTGTGACCTGCGGGGTCTCAGCCTTATGCAGGTTCTCACCTGGGCCCCCCATCTTGCTGGGGCCCCAGGTTGTTCCTTGTGGCTGTGACAGGACAGACAGACACCCCGGGACAGCATCCTCCCCTCCCAAGGCCTTTTGCCCAACTGGTGTTTCATCTTCACACACTGATGTGCGCACACACGCACACACCCTTGGTTGGGGTTAGTTTCTCCTCATTCTTTATATCTGATCTGAAACCTTTCTTCCTCAGATAGACCTTCCTTAACCATTACCATCATAGTGGGGTAACTGCAATATTTGGCACCAGGGCAATTTCAAGAGGCAGAAAAGTTTCCAGAATCAGACGTCTGGGTTGCCAGGTTTTGCACTGTAGCTCTGTATCCCTAAAACACTAAACTATGACTCATTAGATAATAAATACACTACCTGAATAAAATATTACTCCAAGTGTTACCGTATATAAAGGATATGGCCATAGAGAGAAATGAGAGACAGACAGACACAAACACAGACACACCGACACACACAGACCTCTGCAGGAACTTGCCGGTGAGGAACACTTAATAAGTTACAGTTGCAGCTGAACACAGAATCCTGAAGTGATGCCGAGTTCCCTATTGTTTTAGAAACTAGAATCCAGAAGGAACGCTGCAAAAATTCCCACGCCCCAAAGTCCGTGGGATATCGGGGGTTTTTCCTAATTCAATACGACGTTCCTTGCCTGCTTCCAGAGGATAAATAAGGATTTGTGCACATATGTTACAAAGTCAAAATAAGCCGTTGTAGGGGTGTCTCTTCACAATGTTTTTTAACTTCTGCCAAGAAGCTGTACACGGTGGGACTGTGACATTCAGCCTCACACACTGGTTTTCAGCCTCACTGAAAAGCTTTCAGACGCTCTTATCTTCAGTTGTCAAAATCTTGGGTTCAAAGAACATCAAATGAATCTATTTTTCACCGAGTTTAACAAAGAACATCAATTAAAAAAATAATAACCTTAAGATGAAATTTCTATCTATTCTTTGAAGTAAAATACCTTAAAAAGAACTGCGTGATCATGAGCATTTAAGAAGCAATTCTTAATCCCCCCAACTTTTTAAATCTCTTGATTTTGATCATTTCACAGAATAGACTTGATAAAAACCAGGGGTTCTTCCAAAAAGAATGCTGGCCAACATCAGGAAAAGATCGGAAACAAAATATTCTATATTTCAGCACCATCTGGTCTCATCACAGAGCACCAGATTATCGAAAAGAGCTGCAGCTCCATGATTACAGCAGTTCATGCTGCCTTCTCGGGGCTCTGCCCTCCCCAAAGGCCATCAGAGTTCAGTTATTAAATTTAGGGCCGAGAGCATGTGGGAGTCAAAACCGGCAGACATAGCTCTAAGAGGATTAATCCTCCAAAACGAACACATTTGGGGATTTTTCTCAAATCAGATGAACGATCCTAGGAGACATCCTTGCCCTAAAAAGAGGCACAATTTACAAACATTTCCAGAGGGCTTGGCATGTGACAGGCACTGGTTCAACATTACATTCACAGCAATTTATCAAGATCGTCTCAGCAAAGGTCTTCATACTTTTAGGTGACAAAGTCCACCCACCTTTACACGTACACATGACCACAACAAAGTACCTGAAGGGCCGTGAGGATGTTCGCTAAGGCTTGTCCGTATGTGTCGTGACAGTGAACAGCAAGAGCCCTCGGCGGGATTTCCTTCATGACACTTTCCAACAATTTCTTCATGCTTCCTGGAGTCCCCACGCCAATCGTGTCTCCCAGGGAGATCTCGTAACAGCCCATGCCATACAACCTCTTAGACACCTGTCGGGAAAAGTGAGCAGCTAGTGAGACAAAGGACGGGAAAGGACTCCAACCCTGCTGTTCCTCATCCAGAGATAAGCATCACCACCTCAGCTCAACTGCAGATCCCCGGAAAACACGTACGTTCGTCTCCTAGTCCTGTTCTTTGCTCATTAAATCCCAGGTATTACACAAAACCTTGAAGGACATTAATTATCCTTTTCTCATATTCAAGTGTGCCTTGGAGTCGTATCTATCTACATGTTCAATTAGGAAATTATAAGCTACAATTTCAGTTCTGGGAGGCTTATTTTCTCAGCCCTTCAATCAAATGGAAGCATCGCAAATTCACTGTGGAACTAGCATTTCTCAAGGCATTAGACTCGTGGTCAAGAGATAGCAATCACACAGCTCTGTAGCTGGTAGAGACACTTAAGGTTTCTGGCTTAGTTTTTTTCTGGCTCACAAATGGATGCTCTCGTGCTGAGGAAATTTCAAGTCTCCTTCGAGCCAAATAACTGATGTTCCCTTCAAAGAGCAGCATGAATTTGCATGAAGGCAGCCTAGTGTGTTGGCCAAGACGTGGGTTCTGGAATCAGACACAGGCCTGGTTTTCAATCTCAGCTGCCACCCAGGCTAGGCATGTGATACCGGGGAGGAGATTAACCCTGTTAAACCTCAGTCCCTACTACATAAAATAAAGACGTTAACACACCGTCATTGAGCACGTTTTCTAAGCCTAACTACTTAAGTTTTTTTAATTACAGTAATCATGATGACGTTCACAAGGGCAGGTTTGGTTGTGAAAATGAAATGAGAATCTATACATAACACTTGGTGCAAAATCTGTCACATGCTCGCGTGCTAACTCCCGTCTGGTGTGTTTCTTCTGTGCCTGTCTGACGCCCACTGTCATGCGAGGTGCTGGGACTGAAAGGTATACGGAGGTCACGATGGGTCATGCTGTGAAGGAGCCAGGAGTCAAGTGGGGACAGATCTTACTCCATTCCACTTGGGAATGTGTCAACCTCGCTAAAAGGATAATTTGGGGACAAAGAAATGGGACTCTAAGAACACGGAGCAAACTGACCTCAATCTATCGAGCAGGAGGAACCTAAGGGACAGCTGGAGACTAAGCCAGCATTAACTGATTGAAGAGGTTGCAGACCAAAGGCATAGGAAGAAGGTTCCAGGAGGAGCATCAAATACAGAGGCTAACATGCTCCAGGCAGCTGAAATATGAAATACCAAGGGCATCCAAGTAGGCAGAGGGGCCAAACGCAAAGGACAGCCGTGACAAGAAAGCAAAACCCAAGGGGCGATGGATCTGCATAAAGTTGGGAGGTAGGTTCGGGGCAGAGCACACACAGCATTGCAGACTAACCAGGCTTAGGATTTGGGTTGAGGATTCTATCATGAGAGCAACAGAAAGCCTTAACAAAATGTAGGTTAGTGGAGATACAATCAGATTTCTATTTCAGAAAGGCAATCAAAAACAGGATGGAGGGCACTCAAAAGGGCTACCCACTCCTGGCAGGAGACTACCATTGGATGGAAACTTGGATTTAAAAAGGCATAATGGTGAATCTCCCCTACCTACTGCCTTCGGAATAGTGGAATTTCTTAACAGTCAGATTGAGGAGGAGGCGACAAGCTAAGAGGTTGGAGGAAATTCCTAAGGGAATGCAAGGGCTACAGGAATCAGGAAGCAGGGAACAGTCACCATCTCCAAC